CTCCGCCCCCGCCGCCCGGAAGCGCCGCGGCCCCGGGAACCCAGATTCTCCTCGGGACGCTTCCCGCCCCGCGGAGCCGGCTCAACAGGTATGCTGCGGGCGGGCCGCCCGGGATCCTTACCCCGAGCTGCCCCCGGGGCTCCGGGAGCCGCGGGGAAAGGGACGGAAGCCCCGGCCGATAGACGGAGGCTGCAGGGGAACTGCCCGAAGTCCTGCGCGGCGTCGGTCTCCGTGGCGACGCGCGGCACGCCGAGCTCCGGCCCGCGCGCAATCTTGCAGCCCAGCCGGCGGCCGCCTCCCGGAGCGCCCCTACGGGAGAAGGCTTGTCCCGAGAGCTGGGGGCTTCCACCCCCTGGTGCCGCCGGGGCGGGAGGGTCGCCGTCCCTCAGTTCGCGGGCTGGAGTCCTCGAGTTCCAGTTCCGCAGCCTCCTCCCTCAAAACCCCGTCCTCGGGTGTCCCCGGCCTCCTCTGGCAGCGGAGCTGGTTCCAAGCTCCATGCCACCCAGTTGTCCCCTTTCCTACCCTGACGCAAATTATCGAAAACCTGACCTGCCTGCTCGCGCAAGTTTTTTAAAAGTGGGCACGATGCCCTAATTGTGGTATAAAGAGGAAATGCAAGGAAACGGTTTATAATAGTTTGCATTTCAGTCTGCAAATGCTTGGTACGACCACAGTTGAAGAAGTAGTGAAGTTGCCTAGTGCCCGAGCCTGGGCAGGGAAGCACCTGACCTTGACGGCCGCCCACTGTTACGTCTCGGCTACCGACCCAGAGCAGCTCAGCCAGCGGGGGCGTGATTTTCCAAACCGGTCTTGGTAATGTTCCAAACACAACAAAGTACAATCAAGCCTTGATTTACACGCAGTTGCGTTCCTCGAAAATTCGATGTTCAGTAAAACTGTGCAAAAAATATTCTGTATTTACGTGTAAAATGGAGTTTGGTTCTAGCTGCAGATCGTTATAAATGGACTTTTCCACGCACATGAATGCGTGTGAGGACTTGCTAAGGTTGTAGGGCCGCGGGATCGTCCTTTATTTTCGGGACGGCCCCTCGCATCGCAGGACATTAGTATCCCAGACCCCCACCACTTCTATGCCACAGTGCTTCTCCATCTCTGCAGGAAACAGAAAAACCTCCACAAATTCCCAAAATGGCCCCTAGGGGGCAGCACGTCCCCGTTGAGAAGGGCTGAACTGTGAAACTGCACCAGCATTAAGGACATTTCTAGCGTTACCGAGGAGCCAAGCCCGGGGTGTTGTATCTTAGATTCTCAGAACAATCTTGCAAAACCAGGGATTGTTATTTCCATTTTAGAAATTAGGAAAGTGAGGTTTTGAGGGATTAAGTGACTTCCTCAGGATCACAACACTACAGTGTATCAAAGCTGAGTCTGAGCTCAGATTCCACCAAGAAGCAACGTTTCATTTCGGTTGTCGCCTGTGGCCCCAAGGAAAGTTATTTGACTCTGTCTTGGTGAGGTTGGTAGGAAGGTTTTAGCAAAAGGAGTTCCTTTACATTGTAGTGATCAATTGTGTGACTTTGTTCACATTTATGAAAAGTGTGTGATAAAATTTCAGTGCTCTGATTTCAGGAACCACCACGCATTGACACCATGGATAATTACGATCTGATCAAGGCCATTGGGGAAGGTGCCTTCGGGAAAGCATTCTTGGCTAAAGGGAAATCAGATAGCAAGCACTGTGTTATAAAAGAGATCGATTTTGCGAAGGTAAAGTGACGAAGTTCACATTCCTGTTCATTTTCAGTAATATATTCAGCTGGCTTTTAAAATTCAGTATGAAAAAGAAACTCATTTTTTGGCTTGTTTGTTTTTATGATATGAGCCTCAGTTGACTAGGGGTGCCTGGGTGGCTCAATTGGTTAAGCGTCTGCCTTTGGCTCATGTCATGATCCCAGGGTCCTGGGATCGAGCCCTGCATCAGGCTCCCTGCTCAGCGGGAAGCCTGCTTCTCCCTCTCCCTCTGCCCCTCCCCCTGGCCTGTGCTCTGTCCCTATCTTGCTCACTCTCTCTCTCAAATAAATAAAATCTTAAAAAAAAAAAAGCCTCAGTTGACCTTGGTTTGCTCACACTCCTAAGTCTGTTGTCCGAAGAGCAACCAGTATTTTACTAGAAAAAAGAAAAGGAAAGGAAAGGACAAAAACAAAGAAGAAAAGAATAAGATTATATCACTGGTTCCTGTGGCAGTCTTCAGGGTGGCCTGCAAGGCCTGTGAGGTTTGCCCTCCTCCATTGCTCAACTTTTCTATTTTGCCATAGGCTGGTGCTCTTTTTCTGACTGCATCTCCTTCATCAGGTCCCCTCCACAAAGAGGCCTTCCCCAAATCATCCCTGTCCCACCCTCAATCACTCCTTATTACACTGCCCTGGCTTCTTTTCTGAATAACATTTATAATGATCTGGAATTACTCTGCTCACTTTTTTCTTCATGTGCTTATTGTCTGTCTTCTTCAGCATGAAGGACAGTGCCTGGAACATGATAGGGGCTCCAAACATTTACTGAATGCATCAAATGAATGGAGGAAAACAAAGCCTTTTGCTAGTCCAACGATTTTGGAGAGTGATTAAGTATATTTCATTGAAAAGGAATCATTTCTGAATTCTTCTCGGTCAAGTGTTTGTGTCACCCCCTCTAGTGATACTGTATTGGGACAACAATCTCCATCGCATGCTAGAATTAATTTTAAGGCAAGTCTTCTTGGTTGTCCTCTGGAGGATTTATAAATGAGAGTAGCAGAAAACGTGCCATACAAAACGTGTGCAAATGGGGCACCTGGCTGGCTCAGTCGCTCAGTTGGTAGAGCATGTGACTGTTGATCTCAGGGTTATAAGTTCGAGCCCCACATTGAGTGTAGAGATTACTTAAAATAAAAATCTTGAAAAAAAAAACTCTTTAGTTAAAAAAACACAAAAACACCCCAAAGTGTGTGCAAAAATGGACTTGACAAGTTGCACGGTGTGAGTGTACTTAATGCCCCCGAATTGTACATTTAAAGACGGTTAAAATGGTACATATTTTATGTTCTATATATTTTACCATACAATTTTTTAAAGTTGCAAAGGAAAGCAAAAGGACTGCTCAAACTTACATTAAAGCTCAGGTGTAGGGGCGCCTGAGTGGCTCAGTTGGTTAAGCGACTGCCTTCGGCTCAGGTCATGATCCTGGAGTCCCTGGATCGAGTCCCGCATCGGGCTCCCTGCTCGGCGGGGAGCCTGC